GCAATAGGAAACCAAAACAGAAGCTATGGTAATAAACCAGGCAAGAGGAGAGTGGAAGTGGGCACTGGTTAGAGTCTGGATATATAAAGGTAGAATTTATTGAAGGATTAGATGTGAGGTGGAGGGGAAAGAGAAGAGTCAGGGAAAACTCCAGGGTTTTGAGCCTAAGCAGCTGGAAGGATGGAGTTGTCATTTGTTTTGATAGGGAAAAGTGGTTTGGGAGAAGAGCTAAGGAGCTCGCTTTTGGATATGTTAATTTTCTGGTGCTTGTTAGATATGCCGGATGCAAAGTCAAGTTTAGGGGAGAGGTCTGGGCAGGATGTATATATATGTGATTCGTTAGCACATAAATGGTGCTTAAAGCCATGAGCCTGGATGAGATCACCAATGAAGTGAGTATACCTAGAATAAAAAGGTCTAGGAACTAAAATTGGGGTTCTCTCTGGAGCTAGAGGAGATGAGCAGCTTCCAGCAAAGGAGACTGAGGAAGAGTTATTAAAACCAGAACACCAGAAGCTGGTTCTATCTTGGAAGACAAGTGAAAAAGGTGTTATTAGGAAGGGTGATTATTCATGTCAAATGGTTATAGAATGTGAACTGAGACTTGATCCTTGGATTCAGCAACATATATAGAGGTCACAAGTGACCTTGTACAAAAGAAGTTAGGGTAGAGTTTAGGGGAGATAAGCTTGACTGGAGTGGGTTCAAGAGAGAAGAGAAGAACTGAGTATAGCAAGTTGACAGCTCTTTCAAGTTTTATGTAAGGTTTATGGAGACATGGGGTGGTAGCATGAGGTGGATATGGAATTGAAAGTGTTTTTATGTTTAGCTGATGGAAATAATCCAGTAGAGGGGAAATATTGATAATATAGACTAGAGCAGGGAGAATTGCTAGAGCAATGTCCTGGAGCAGAGGAGAGGAAGAGATCCAGTGGCCAAGTGGAGAGGTTGGTCTGAGATAGGAGCATAGATAAGATCATCCATAATTAAAAATAGGTAAGACAGAGTATGTGGAACAGATGCCAGTAGGTGGGTAGATGTGGTGATAGGAATCTGTAGACATTCTCTTTTGATGGCATTCATCTTCTCATTTAAATAAGAAGCAGAATTATAATCTGAGAGTGATGATGCTGGCCAAGGGTTTATAGGTTTGAGGAGAAGGTATGAAACAATTACTCATTAGAGTCCAGACTTGAGAGGAAGAGATTGATTGCACTAAGGAAATGTAGTTCTTTTGCTCTCCCCAACATTGAGTCTACTTGAAGTTGAGTGGTCAAGAGTTTTAAAGCAAGATCCATTCAGCATGGTTGGGAGCCGGAAATCATGTTTTATTTTGGACATGTTTATTTTGAAATATCTGAGACATCTGAGTAGAGCTATTGGGCATGTATCCTGTGATATGAGTTGGGGGCTAGAATGACTGGTCTAGGTTGGAGATGTGGGAGTATTTGGCAGATAGATGGTATGTAAAATCATGAAACTAGATGAAATTGCTCTTGGGTGGGAAGAGTGTAGAAAGAGGAGAGAAGGCAGCATAGGTTGAGCCTTGAAGAACTCCAACATTAGTGGAAGACAAGACAGCAAAGGAGACTAAGAAGAAATAGCCAGAATGGTAGAAATAAAACAGAAAAAGTATTTGACAAAATCTAACTTCCAGGCCTGATAAGAATATTTTGTAGACTAGGAATAGAAGAGAATTTCCTCAGCCTGATAACATCATACTTAATGGTGAAAGGCTGAGTACTTTCCCCCTACAATCAGAAACAAAAATGTCCTATTCAACATTGTACTGGAGGTTTTAGCCAACAGCAGTATTTTAAAAGTTGCCATTCAATATGGTGGTAGAGCCCAGAGTTTTGGGCTTTTTGCAAATTTAATAGGCAAAAATAGTAATCACATTAATTAGCATTTCTTTGATTGTAAGTGAGAGTAAACTTTTCCCCTCAGCTGTTTCCTAGTCATTTACAGTTCACCTTAGGCAGGCTGTCCATGTCTTTCTCACATTTTTCTACTGGTATTTTGGTGTTATCTGTAATGACTTACCTAATACTATGTACTTCACCTGTCATATATAGTTAAATACAGAAATAATATAGTCAGATTTATAAATTGACTTCTCCCATTGTTATTTGGAAATAGAGGAGAATTTTCTAAGACATAAGAATTTAAGTATTCAGTAAATGGATAAATAAATACATTCATCTAGCCGTGTTATTTTTAATTTAACTCTTATCTGTCTGGAAATAATCTTAACACATAAATATAAGTATGAAATGAGGCTATAAATTTATTTTTATCCAAATAGATTATCAATATAAAAATAATGTACCATACCCCACTGATTTGTGATGTCACTTTTATCATACATCGAATTCCACTCTATCATAGGATCTGTTTTTAGACTATTCTATTCTAAGTACTTTAGCTTTAACTTATATTTAAACTATCTTTCTTCATTACTCTTGCTCTCTATCCCCCAGATTTTTGGCTCTTCTCATCTATTTGTTGCTCTGGATTAATTTGTCAATAAGTAGGTCAGTCTTCCTACCCCTAAACATGGATGTGTTTCTGTTTATTCAACTTTTTAAAATGTACCTCAGAAAAGTTTAGTCACTTCTTGTTACTTCAGTCCTGGTAGTTTCTTTACAGATTTAATCCCACATATTTCCTATTAATTACTTTTCATGAAGATTTGACACAACTCTCATTTTCTGTTCTAACTTTTTCTGGTATATAGAAATATTGTCTCTAGCTACCTTAATGAACTCTTATTAATTGTTAAGAGTTTTTCTTTTCAGTTGGCTCACTTCAATTTCCTAGATAAACAAAGAGCATTTGCATTGAAAAGTAATTTTGTTGTCACCTTTGTAAACAGCTTTTTCTATTACTTCCATTTCCCATGTCATTTCATAGGCCAGAAAGACCATTATATTCTTATGTAGCTAACGGTGATGGTAGGTATGTATACTGATCAAAAGCATCTTGATTTTTAAGGTAAATAATTGTAGAGTTTCACCACTAAGTATGATGTTGGATGATTATTTAAAGTAGTATTTTAAGTATCTTTCTATTCCTCATTTACTAAATATCATCAGAAATGAGTATTTAATTTATGAAGTGTCCTTTGTAAATAATTTTATAATCAAAATGAGAAAGTTAACCTGAGACAAGGTGCAAGTTAACTTAGGGTGCTTTTCCTGCATTATATTCTATGGGATTCGATATATTATAGAACAAAGAGAGCAATTTTCTCTTTGTCCTGAAAATATTAGTATTTAAAAACGTACAATTAATTCTTTGCCAGTGTTTACTTGGCTGTCTTAGGAAACATTTTCTTCAGCCATATATTCTTACAAGGTCTGGCTCCACTCTGATTCATTGATACATTAGTGAATTAATGAGTTAATTAGTGAAGAGAGTAGTCCACAGTTGTTAGCCACCTGGTGGGAAATGAATGACAAGGAGGAAAAGAACCAAAGAACAAGCCTTGAAGTGATGAAAATGTAGGAGAGCACAGCAGTAACATATAAGAAAGATAGGATACCTCTTCCTCCAAATAATTTATTGTCCAAACCTATACGCTTTTGAAAGTAGTGGGCTATTATAATTAATAACTGGCATGGCCCGGTCCCCTATGCCTGTGAATCTATAATTGATAGTCTGTCATTTCCAATTGTTTAGGAAGGACGAGGAACAGTTGCACCAGTCTGGGGGGTCTGATTCCTCTTCAGTTGGTTAACTCCAGTCCTGGGGGGCTAAGTTGATAACATCACTCTGGAACACCCCTCCAATATACTAAGCTAGTTATGGAAATCCACGTAGTAATATCATTCCATTTATATGAAATGTCTGGAATAGGCAAATCCATAGAGACAGAAAGTTAAGATAGTGGTTATTAGGAGATAGGGTTAAGGAATGTAGAGGGAAATGGGGAATGATACACTTAATGGAAATGGGTTTTTTGGAGTGATAAAAATGTTTTAAAAATGATTGTGGTGAGCCGGCATGGTGGCGTAGTGGTTGGGTTTGCGCACTCTGCTTCCACAGCCCAGGGTTCGTGGGTTTGGATCCCAGGCGTGGACCTGCACACTGCTCATTGGGCCATGCTGTGGCAGTGTCCCATGTACAAGGTGGAGGAAGATTAGCACGGATGTTGGCTCAGGGACAGTCTTCCGCAAGCAAAAAGAGGAAGATTCGCAATGGATATTAGCTGAGGGCCAATCATCCTCACCAAAAAGCCCAAAATGATTGTGTTGATGGTTGCACAACTGTGAATATAATGAGAATCAGTGATTTGTACAGGTTAAATGGGTAAATTATTTGGTATGTGAAGTATATCTCGATAAAGCTTTTTTTAAGAAATAACTTTTTATGTCTCAGAAAAATGCCTGCAGTTGGAATACAGTATATTTTTCATAAATCTACTTTGATAATGTATCAAGAACCTGAAATGCCAGATGTTCAACACATGATTATTAAGAATGGGGGGCAATGGAACAAACCTAGATATCCTACAATAGGAAAATAGCTACGTATATCCATAAGAGTGGAATAATAAACAGTTAATGTTTTTACCATATATTTAATGATAAGGAGAAGTATTTAAAAGAAGAAACAGGATAGTCAATTTTATGTAGTATGTAATTCCAATTGTGTATTTTTTGTTGTGCATACATATATGTGTATATGAGGAGAAAAAAGCCTGGAACATAATGTCAAAATTATAAATAGTTGCTATCACAGAGTGGAGAGATTAGAGATATTTTTATATGTTTATAATTGTCCATAGTTTCAGTGTATGTATTACTTCTACTTTCACATATAAAACATTAATACTTCTCTACTTCATCTTTGTGAATGTTATGGTGAAACATGGTATCATGTGTCCTCATGAAATGCATGTGAGACAAAGCCATAGCCACTCTACTGGCCAAATTGTCCCACTTGTTTTATTTTCATGACTCTGAAAAAGTAAACCATGAACTTTAATATCTTTGCAGGTTATCAATGCTGCATTGGCTTTAGCAGCAAAACCACAGAGTAAACTGGCCCAAGAGAACATGGATCTTTTTAAAGAACAGTGGGAAAAACAAGTCCGTGTTCTCACAGATGCTGTCGATGACATTACTTCCATTGATGACTTCTTGGCTGTCTCAGGTAATGAGCTGGTTCCCCAGAGAAGAATGTGATGATGTACATAATTACTTTTGCCTAAGTTACAGTAATGGACAATAAAACGCCCCCAAGTCTGGGCAGGTAAATTATTCTAGCAATAATATTGTGCTGGTTATTATTTTAATTAAAAAAAAAAAGTACCACTGACTCCTGAGCAGTGAGAAGTGGGGTTGGAGTTATTTCCGTTGTGGTGGGCTTGGTCTTGATATAAGAAGCACTAAATGGAAAGTGGGCTGGCAGAGGTTTTTCTCTGTTTGTACAGAGTAAGATCTTGCAACTGTGACCTGTACAGCACCATAACCATCTACCCGTCTTGCTGCTGTTGTATTTAGAAAAACCTTTACCTATGTCCTGGTAGAGGCTGTGGTTATTTGTTATGAAGCTGTGAAACTTCATAACAAATGAAACTTCCTGAGAAAGGATTGCCAACATTATCACCTTTAGTTTCTTTTGTAAAATAATTTTGTCCACTTCCTGGAAACCTTCTCCTTCCCTCTTCCTCAGAAATGATCATAGTTTAACTGCCTACTTTTTGAAAGACTCTCTGTCTGCGTGATGCACAGATAGAAAACAGAGAGGAAATATTTAAGTGCCATTTAATTATGAACTTGCAAAAAATAAATCTGGGTAATTCACCTCACAAAAACAGTTGATTTCATTATATAAACATAAACTGGTAATGACATAGTAAATTGCATTCATATAGAAAATGTCTGTCAACTGCAATTCACTGTTTATCACACAGAGATAAATTTCAATCCATCTCCTTAGAGTTGAGCAAGTATAAATGCATTCTCTATTTGACAGAGCCTTCGCTGCCCTTGGCTGCACTGCTTGCTCTCTGGAGGTGCCAGGCTTCTTGAGGCCAGTGGCTGTGGGCAGTCAGTGGCTGGGTACTTGTAGGGCTGAAACTACCTGTCACCCCAGGGAACCACAGGCTGGAACGTGGGAGATGTGAGCGGCAATGGGGCTTGAAACAGAAGTGGGGCTCAAGTACAGGCACAGCACAGTCCTCCAGCAGTGACCTATATAAGGTGACAGTGTGTTCCGCATACCAATCTTCCCTGTCTCTGCCCGCTCTCCTTGGGATTGGTATCTTTGGCTCTTCTTGAGTGAGTGGGGAGCAGGTAATCTGTAAACTGCAAAAAAAAGAGAGGGTAAACCATGCTGCTGCAACACCGCCAAATTGCAGGTGTTGGTACTTTAAACCACAAAACCCATTTGCAAGCATATCTTTGCAGGTGCCAAAAATGCAGCAATGGCTTTTTTGGGAAATCTTGGCCTTCTGTTGTTTTTCCCAATGAAGTACTGAATTATTCTTTTTCAGAGGTTTAGAGAAAAACATTCCACCTTCACAGCACACTTTTAAGCAAACAACAAATTCTGAAATCTAAATGCAAAGCCCCCCTCGGAGATAGATATTCCATTCCTAAATTTACTTTCTTGTGATTAGGGTGAGTATATCTCAGGCTTGGTCTCAAGGGATTTTCAGTCCTTCTTACAGCAAAATAAAATGTAATAGAATCAAATGTCCCTTGTGCAACATTCTTCAAATCAGAGAACAAAAGGGATTCTGCAGTAGCATTTAGTGGGATCTGGGCAGTATCTTTAGGGTATAGGACATAAAACAGAAGAATGGTAGAGAGAAATCAAATTCTTTAACTGATACACTTTTGTCTGGTGAGGATGTTCAATTTTTATGCAAATAGGGAACGTATAAGAGTTGGTTTGATGGAAAGGAGGTTAGACAGTTTCTGTTTAGCAAATAAAAACACGGAACAATTCTTTTGGTCAGAAAGTGGTGGTGGTTTCAGAGTAGCTAAATTTTAAAGGTCTACCCTAGTGTGTTTCTCTAATGTTTTGTTGCAGGCTTGCTTAGCAATGTCAAGTAAATAAATAATTAACGGGGCAAGGTTGTTATTCACAATTCCCCTGATTTATGGTGTGCTTTTTGGGGTCTTGGGATGAAGTGAAGGGATAGGCAGATCCCTGTGCAGAGTTCTACTGGATTGACCAGTTAATTTTTAGCATTCAGACTCCTGACGGCTTTATCACTTTTTATGTGGGGTGACTTGAGATGTCTCCTCATCTCACCTGATACACAGCCTTGGTGGGGAAGTGGCTGGCTAGCATTGAGAGGAACCCCACTTTTAAATGGGCAAGCCCCCATTTATCCCCAGTCCTTGGCCCTTGTGCATCTCTAGATGTGCACTGTGGATTGTAGAGCAGGTGTCATCTGGAGCAGTCATGGGCAATCTTTAGACAAGAAGCCATGTCTTGGCTTCACCCTGATCTGCCCCTATGCCCATTTCCCCTTGCCCTGAGGTACACTGGTGCTTCAGTGGTCCCATCAGTGAGGTGGGCATGTTTCTGGCCAGAGGGGCTGCCAGGAAAGTGCCCCAGCACAGCGTCTGGCTTAAGGTTGGTGGGCTTCATAAAATTTTGTGGAACAAAGGGTCAGGATGCCGCTTCTCCTTGGAGTGCTTATTCTCTACAGTATTCTGGGGCCTTGTGGCCCTTTGGCAGTGTGAGAGGTTTTGTGGAATATTTCCGCTAATGATTTTCCACCATCAGATGCCCTCTTGGAATCCATGGGCCTGGATGTTTGCTGTAGCCCTGCCCACTCACTGAGAACCCATCAAAGAGGAAATTATTTAGGGAATAGGGCTGAGAGACCCTTTGCTGCTTTATCTCTATTGTTCCTAGATATTCTGTCCCATTGGTTCTAGAAGTTCCCTCATACTTATCACATGGGATATTCTGAATTTGTGGCTCAAAAAGTAGTGTTCAATGGGGCTGGCCTGGTGGTGTAGTGGTTATGTTTGTGCACTCTGCTTCGGCGGCCTGGGGTTCGCTGGTTTGGATCCCAGGTGCAGACCTACGCACTGCTTATCAAGCTGTGCTGTGGCAGGCGTCTGACATATAAAATAGAGGAGGATGGGCACAGATGTTAGCTCAGGGCTAATCTTCCTCAAAAAAAAAAAAAAAAAAGTAGTGGTCAATCTTGTGTATAACCTGGTGAAGCCACCAAGACCCTGATACCATGAGGCTGCAGAGCAGGGGGAACTTGGGTCACTGTATATCAAATATGAGACTGTGGCACTTGAAAATAGAGAGGGACATGCATCCCACCCCCAGGGAAGAGCGTGTAGGGACTCCTTTTTCCCAAGCTGTTCTATTCAGAACGTTGCCTTGTAAATATTGGAGACGGTTTAGGATGCTAGAGAGCATTCGGCAACCCATGAATATATTTATATTGACTGATCCCTTAAGGACAGTGGTTTGAAATATTTCATTTGAATTATATTTGATAAACATATGGAAATGCAGTTTACTTTCTCATTTGTTTACTCTGCTTACATGTGGAAGTTTTGGTTCTTTTTTTTTTTTTAATGCAAGTGGTTGGTTAGAATGGTTCTAATTGGGTTTATTACATTTCTTTACCAGATGCTCTTGGAAACAAATAATATTGTATTACATACTTTGGGGCAACATCTAAGAGTGGTAATTTGTACTCTTTCTTCATTAAGTCTTGGTAGGCCCAAATAATTCGGTCTGATTGGGCGGTCATTAAATAAAAGGATTATTGTACCTAATTTTTGTTTTTGTGTTTCGTAGCAAAAATGCAAAACTGAAGATAGAGTTCTCTCTTTTGAGGAAATGGTATAGGTAGTGGTGACGGTAGGTTTGATTTCTGACTCGCATGCCCAGTAGCTGTGTGACTTTGGGCAAGTTACTCAATACTTCTGTGCCCCATTTTCCTTGTTAATTAATGGTGACTTTTAAAAAAATCGCTACCATATAGATGAGTTAAATGCCAAGCACTCAGAATATTTCTTGTTATAGATTAAAGTCCTCTATATAACTATTAATATTATCATCTCCCATGTGTGCATAAGGTTGCACCGATAAAGAGGTCCAGAACAAAAGGTATACAGGACAGGCCCTGTTACACATTGTGGGCTGAAGTGTAAGTTCATGCAGCCTTTCTGGAGAATGCCACTTGGCTTGATTCCTGGAGGGCAATTAGGTACCGAACATCTAGTTTAAACATATATGCCTTTTGACTTAGTAATCCCATTGCTAGAAATTTTCCCCAGGGATATATACACAACTGTTCGCCAAAATACCTATACAAGGATGTTCACATCAACCAAAATGTCTAAGAGAAGACGGGATAAGTGAATTATGATGCCTCCATCTATTTAACAGGGTCCTGTGCAGCCATTAAAATTGATGAGGTAGCTCTGTAGAGGCAGACCCAGAAAGGTTTTCAAATGAAAAACAGATATAATAGTGTCCATAATATGATCCCTTGTAGATATGCTGTTTTGTGTGTGTGCATGATTTTTTTCCTGTTAGAAGCACCTACAAATAAAGACTATATTGAACAATCAGAGTCTTTAATGGGGTGAAGATTGGTGTGTCTATTCAGAATGGAACCATCCTGAGTTTCCTTGGAAATTCAATTAAAGTTAGAGTGGGTACCTCCTAACCTCCCATGCTTGCACATGTCCAGTGGAAACTTACCTCCTCCCTAGGGCTTAAGTGTAGAGAGCAGGATTGGTGTTGTGTCCTGGGTGTGTGGCGGCCCCAGCTGGCTGGGCCTTCCCTAGAGACAGCTGTTGAGTGAAGGTAGAGAACAGTACTTGAGTCAGCTTCCTGGAATAGATGGCTTCCTTTGTCACTAATGAATGGCAAACCCTTCTCTGGTTTGGGTTCTTCTGGAAGAAAGGCAATATGAATTCAAGAAAGTCTAAATTGATTTTTTAAAACATAGGTGTCTAGACGAAGGTTAACAAATCCTTGGTGGAAGTTGGGCCACTTTCTTTAATGAACAAAAAAGAATGCTATGCTTCATTGATTCCAAGATATGCTTCCCCCCTAGGTATTAACAATCCTGAAACAGGGATGAGTCTTAAAATCAATGATATGAGAAAACATTGGTTCATAGTTTATTTAGCAACATCTTTTCTTTCCTTTTTATTCCTTTCCTTTTACTTTGCTTTCCTTAGTGATACAAGATACAAGTGTAAATGTTGTGTTAGAGTCAGTAGAAGTGGCCGTTTTTAACCCAAGGCCTAGGATGGTGGGCAGGCTCTGTAGCTGTCTGTTTAGTTCAAATTAACATGTAGAGAGTTTGTATGTGAAAGATGCCTCTGCAGGGCTCCAAATCCATTTATTCTTATAATTGGTTCAAATATCCCCCCTAAAATTTATGTAAAAAGTTTAACGTATTTTCTCTTTTAATAGTACAGTGGTGTAAATAAACCCTAGAAAGTCTCTTAATTTTTGAACTAGTAGATGCTAAATTATGATCATCTTAGCTATACCGTGGTAATTCATTTTCCCCTTCTACAACAGGAGTTCTTACTATATTCTGGTTTTCCCTGGAAAGATGTTTCTTTTACATATGTATGTATGTATGTATGAATGAATGAATTTTAGAGCAATTTTATGTTCACAGCAAAATCAAGAGGAAGGGAAGGTACAGAGATTTCCCATCTCTCTGCTGACCCTACACTTGCGTAGCCTCCCTCATTATCAGCATCCCCCACCATAGTGGCATGTTTGTTACAATTGACGAACCTACATTGACACATCATTATCACCCAGAGTCCATGATGTACATTACTCTTCACTCTTGGTGGTGTACATTCTATAAGTTTGGACAAATGTATCCATCATTATAGTATCATATAGTGTATTCACTGCCCTAAAGATACTCTGTGCTCCACCTGTTCATCCCTGCCCCCTTTAACCCCGGGCATCATCTCTATAGTTTTGCCTTTTCCGGAATGTCATATAGTTGGAATCATATAGTATGTAGGCTTTTGAGACTGGCTTCTTTCACTTAATATGCATTTAAATATGCATTTAAGGTTGCTCCATGTCTTTTCATGGCTTGAAGCATATTTAGCACTGCATAATATTCCATTGTCTGGATGTACCATAGTTTATCTGTTCAACGAAAGACATCTTGGTGGCTTCCAAGTTTTGGCAGTTCTGAATAAAGCTATTACAAACATCTCTGTGGCTATGAGTTTTCAACTCCTTTGGATAAATACCAAGGAGTGCAATTGTTGGATCATATGGTAAAAGTATGTATAGTTTTGTAGGAAAGCTGTTTTTACCGAGTCCCTTTTTAATTCTTTCACGTTATTATTTCTTTCTCATTGTGATTTTTTCATCTTATTCCATTATACCTGTGGTCTCAGAACAAAGAGACTCTTAGGGATCTACAAAGAGGAAGGCCTTGGTTCTCGAGGCCTAAGGGGATCCTGAAGCCCAAAGGCAGGGCATTGTGATGGCTTTATTCTTTGCTAGATCTGCTAAGTACCACTTTGCCTCTGGCTTCCCTTTGGACAAGAGGAACCAGCACCATGACCGCTTTCTTGTTCTAGGTACCTTAAGAGGTCAAAGTTATTGTTATCTCCCTTCCAGACACTGTCATGTAAAACGCCTATGTTAGCAGACTATGAGAGAAGGGTAATGACTTTTGGAAATGGATTAAATCAGGAACCAGTCCTGGATAATGACATGTCAAAAGCATGATGTAGAGCTGGCAGAGAATTGGCCAGATGTGTTTCTTAAACAGATTACATTTGCCCTGATTCTTCTGGCTCTTCCAGAAGAACTAGGACTACTATTCTGTCACCTGTTATTCCAGGTACTTTCTTGGTTTAAGGGAGTAAGCATGTCTTTACCAGACATTGCTTCTAAGAGTTCTTACATGTCTTGAAGAAAGCTCCTTGCCAAGCAGGAAGGAAACGGCCAGGTGATGGCCTGGGGACTTCCCTGTGTGCCCTCACCCACCCACCTTATGAAGTCTGGGCAGCCCTGTCATTTGGGCTGTTTGCTGGTGTCTGCAGTTCTGGATGAGTGAGAACATTCTCTTTCCCATTCTGGGTCTGCCCCTACAGACTGACCTCATCCACGTTAAAGGCTTTGTAGTGCCCATAATTTATTACCGATTCTGATTTTGAACATTTTGGTTGCTTCCACTTTGCTATTATAGTTGAGGTTGAAGCAAACTCCTTACTCTGGGGTTCCTGAAATCCAGTGTCAAGCTTTTTGCTTTGAGGAAAAATAGGTTTGGGTGGGTTCTCCAAATTCGGCTCTGTGACTGGTAGGAGCCACTTGTCAGTTTAATCGGATTCACGGGTTTCTGCAAATGTCACAACAGGCCCACCTGCATCCTAACGGGGTCACTAAATGTTTCGCCTCAGGTGGGCCCCCTCGGCACCCTCCAGAGGATGCTTCAGCCTGCTTTCTGGCAACTCCTATCCCAAGGCTGTGCTGGCTTCTTGGTAGACTGTCTGAATACCTTTGGCGTCTACTGGAGGGAGGGCTCAGGGACTAGGAGGATAAAGCCTTACAGGGAACCTTTTCTTCTACTTCAGATTCTGGGACATAAGGTCAGTGAAATTATTTAAGGGAAAGAGAAGTTATTACGGTTTCCGTGATGTGAGTTTTCTGCCTGGCTTACAGAACAACTGTGCCTTAAAGATGGGCATCTCTCTCTCTCTCTCTTTTAAGCCTGGAATGAAGATTGTTATTCTTGGAGGTGATGACAGGTTGGTTGAGTTTCTGTGTGGACAGTTAATCCACCTGCTAATCTGGTTTCTTCAGTGAAATAATACATGTAAAACTTTTGGCAGTGTAGCTGGCACAAAATAAGCCCTCAGTAAATGATAGATGCCAACTTAAAATTGTCCTCTTGTAGTGGAAGGCCTCTTTCCTCATTCAGCTTTTTGCTTGTTCCTCAGAGAATCACATTTTGGAAGATGTGAACAAATGTGTCATTGCTCTCCAAGAGAAAGATGTGGATGGACTGGACCGCACAGCTGGTGCAATCCGAGGCCGGGCAGCCCGAGTCATTCACGTAGTCACCTCAGAGATGGACAACTATGAGCCAGGGGTCTACACAGAGAAGGTGCTGGAAGCCACCAAGCTGCTCTCCAACACAGGTGTGGGAACTCCCTTCCTTATTGGTGCTACCCACACACAGATGGCCATCCTGTTAGTCCAGGCCCTGTGGTTAGGAAGTAGGAGATCAGAACTCCGCTCAGGTCTTAAGAGTTCTGGGTGGTATATCAAGACTTGTGAGAAGTTGGTCAGCCAAATTAAGGCCTCGCAAACCCATTTCCTTCATGTGTGCCCCGCGATCAATGATGGGAATAATTCTGAACACTCTGTTTAAGATGAAATTCTTAGGTAAGGTTCATGTTGATGAATAAATACTAAATTAAGGAGAGTCCCATTCTTAAGCAAGGCCTCAAGTTAATCTCACTTCAAGTTCTTAACCATCCAAATCCTATATTGCAGAATCTGGTCAGAGACGAAGATTATTTGAGTTTTTATAAAATACGCCATTTAATTTATTTCAGCCATAAATACTTCTCACTTGGGTAGAAGCAGAGGCTCTTCATCATACACTTCGCCTCTTTCTGTCTGAGTGAGGGATTTAGGGAGGGCTGGTAGAATGATGGTGTCTGCTGGGCCAGCAGGATCTGCCATGCTTCTTTTCTCCGCAGTCATGCCACGTTTTACTGAGCAAGTAGAAGCGGCGGTGGAAGCCCTCAGCTCAGACCCCGCCCAGCCCATGGATGAGAACGAGTTTATCGATGCCTCCCGCCTGGTGTACGATGGCATCCGGGACATCAGGAAAGCAGTGTTGATGATAAGGGTGAGTAACGGCATTTCAGATGTTTTAACAGCTTCTTTCTTATCATTTGCTAAACTTGAGCAATGCATCATTCTGGAACTCAGCAGATGCAGTGGCAGTATATTAAAACCATGAATCTAAAAGCTGTTAGAATGAGATATATTTAATTATGTTGTCTAAAATGACTTTTAGTCGCAAGTTAGAGCCCAAACTTGGGCCGAGAACAGGAGCTAGTATGAGTTGGCCTTGACGATTTAATTTAGGGCAAACAGTCACCACAAATAAGAGGCTTCCATTTGAGTTAAAGGGAAACTACAGAAAATAAAGGCTTTTCAGTTAATTTCAGAGAAGGGAGTATTTCCTTAATGCAAATGGAAGTTATTCTTCACATGGAACACCCTTCTCCTCGAAGGGGTGGCAGGCAGCCAGGATGCTAGAACCCATGTGCTCAAAGTGAGGGTGAGGGACTCGAAGGCCCTGGTGATGCTCCCTGGCTCAGGGCCAAGCATTGAGCCCCTTCACCATGGCTGAATGGAAGTGCCACCTGGTCTGGGCCCATTTGACCTACGTTCTCTGAGAGAGCAACAGTTCTCACTGGCTGAGAGAAAGTCCAGGGCCCACTCTGGGTTGGCATAAACAAAGGGGTTTTGAGAAACTACCAACCTCTCTGTAATGCATCCCCAGGGTGCCAGGCCTGGGTCTCACAGCTGCCTTTCCCATGGCAGTTGATTCCTCACATGCTGTTCTGAGTATAAGCATGTTGCTCTGGAAGCTGAGAGCAGGGCGTGTGCGTAACTCTCCCCACAGCCACCTGGCCACCCTCCACACCTGGGCCAGGCCCTGTCTTAGCCGCAGAGCAGGAGTTGGAGTGCAGTGCCTGCCTGCTGCATTGATGGCTGCTTTGCTATGCTGTCGATCTAGTCGGGTCAGGGGAGTTCATTTATACCTTCATGGTTTGCTAGTCAAACCTCCCAAGGTAGGCAGGGATTCTGTCCCACTTCGTACCCTCTCAGCCTGACAGCCTGCAGAACCTAGCCAGCTTGTCAGGTGCAAACAGAGGCCGTTTCTAAGGCAGTTGCATCAGGTTGGACCAGTTTTGTATGCAGGGTAGAAACACTTGGGCAAGACTGCACTCCTCTTTGAAGTGGGGAGGAAAGAACTGTTCAAGGATCGCCTGCCTGGCTGCTGGCTGTTACTGCAGTCCCCAGGTCACCTGGACATCTTGGGAACTGGAGGCAGGGAGCTGGTTGAGCCTTTTGCTTTCTTCATCCCTGCTGCTGTACTAAAGAAGAACCCATGTTTGGTGGAGGCCTGGCTTCGTTGAATGCAAGGTTATACCCAGCGTCTATATCTCGGTGGTGTGAAGGGATCCCTGGGTCACATGTACTGGTGGTAATGAACACAGCCCTATTTCTCCAGAGTTCTTTCCATGCTGACAAACACCTAGAAGTAGAATAACAGAAACCTTAATGATAAAGAGGAGTTGTTGGGTGTCTGAGGTTAATGTCTTTGGGGATTTAAGTGGGCTGAAACTGCATTCCCTCCAGGGGATACCTGCAAATTCCAGAGCCGCATTGTGGTGAAGCAGGTAGGGTTGTGGGAACCCCTATCCTGGGAGCAGCCTGGAGGGCCTGGAGGTCTATAAGACAGCCATGGTTTAGCTCCTCCCTTATCTTATGCTCTCTGACACTACTCCTGTTTTAATTCACGAATCATCCTTCCAACCCCTGGGCCTCTGTCTGATGTCTTGTCCTCCCTCCACCCAACCTCCCTTCTGTGGTCATAACCCTAGTCCTTGTCATTACCATCATCTACATCATCCCAGTGTCCAGTGTCCTTGTGTGTTGGCTTGCTCTCTCTAGTACTGTGACTCTCAACAATCCTTTGAGTCCACCAGGGTCTTCAGTCAGTTGGTCCTCCCCACTTGTCACCCTCACTCAGCCCCTTAGGTCCTTGCCTCACTTCTTTTCTAGCTTTGAGTCTGTGCTTCATCAATATAATCTCTCTTGCTCCCATTTACTTCCTTATATTTGCCTTGCAGAATACAATCCTAGTGAAATCCTGCCTTCTCCTGCTGAGCATGCTGTAGAAAAGCACAGCCACCCTGTCTGGGGTCACTGACCCCAGGTCTGTCACTGGGCCCTTAGTGCCGTGCAGTGTGGCCCTGGAGTCTAGGAACGTTTCAGACCTTCCTGCTCACCTCAGCCTCCCACACCAGTGCCCCATCTTCCGTCTCTGGCCCTGGCGCCTATTTCACTGAGAATATTGAGTCAGTTGGGGCATCTGCCCCCTGCTGCCTCTGTGCCCATGTACCCTGCCTTCCTCCTCTCACTGTGGACCTCCCAGTGTCCCTGACTAAGGCCGTCCCCTGCACTGGATCCCATTCCCTCTTCCTCTAGCCCCTTTCTCCAAGCATACAAACATGCAGTTATTTCTCCCATCCTAAGAAAAAGAAAATCTCTGGGCCCCCCTCCTTCTCAGTCTCGTTTGCTGGTTTTTCCTTATCTTTTCAGCCTCTTACTGTGGGTTTACCCTGTAGAAGAATTCTTGACCTCTTCTCATTCCCTTGGCATGTAAAGACTTGAGAAAATCATCAAAAGTTTGACTCTCCTGAGTTCCACACTCACCTTGCCTACTCCCTCTTGCTACTTGATTGTCTAATGGGCACCTCAAGCTTATTATGCCCCAAAGTTTGAGCTCCTTATGTTTCTACCCCCAGCGTACTCCACCCAGTCTTCATGTGTCATTTGATGGCAACTCTGTCTTTTACTTGCTCAGGTCTAAACCATGGATTCACCCTTGATTCCTCTTTTTGTCTCATAACCCACATCTGTCTATCAGCAAACCCTGTTGGATCTACCTTCACAATAAATAGAGAATCTAAACACTGTTCCCACCCTAGTCTGGGCCACCAGCATCTCTCACCTGGATTCATGCAGTTGCTTCTCAGCTGGTCTCCCTATTCCCATCCCTAGATGCCTGCAGTCTCTTTATCCACTGAGCAGCCAGAGTGATCCTTTTAAGCTTCAATTAGTACATGCATCCACTGCTCAACACTCTCTAAAGACTGCCCATGGCACTCAGTCCTTACACTGGCCCACAAGGCCTTCTAGAACCTGAGCCTGTCACCCCTCTGACCTCATCTTTTACTACTCTCCCCTTTGCTCCCAAGGCTCCAGCTGACCCCGTGACATGAGGGTAGTGAGCTGAGTCCCTCTACCATGGCCTCCTTGGTATTCATCCAATTTCCCAGGCAACCTCCTGCCTTGAGGCCTTTGTTCTGGTGACTCCCTCCTGCTGGAGCACTCCTCCCTCAGGTACCTCTCATGTTCCCACCTTCACTGCCTTGAGGTCTCTGCTCAAATGTCACCTTCTCATGAGACCTTTCCTGACCACCCATATAAAATTACAGTCCCCCTTCACTGCTTTATTTATTTATAGCACTCATCAGTTTCTAATATTTCATATAATTCATTTTTTGTTTGTTGTCATTTCTTCCATTAGAATACAGGCCTATTTCATTTTATTGCCCTTTGCTTTATTGCGCTTTGCAGGTATACTGTGCTTTTTACAAACTGAAGGTTTGTGGGAACCCTGCGCCAAGCAAGTCTGTTGGCGCCATTTTTACAACAGCATTTGCTCACTTCGTGTCTCTGTGTCACATTTTAGTAATTCTCACAATATTTCAAACTTTTTCGTTATTGTTGTATTTTTTGTGGTGATCTGTGATCAGTGATCTTTGATGTTGCTATTTAATTGTTGTGGGGCGCCGTGAAGACAGTGAACTTAATTGATAAATGTTGTCTGTGTTCTGACTGCGCCACCAACTGGCCGTTCCCCTTCTCCCGTCTCTCCCCCTCTCCTCAAGACTCCCTGTTTCCTGATGACCATATTGAAATTAGGCCAATTAACAATCCACAATGACCTCAAGTGTTCAAGGGGAAGGAAAAGTTGCATGTCTCTCACTTGAAATCAAAAGCTAGACATGATGTAGTGAGGAAGACATTCAAAAGCTGAGATGGGCCAGTTAGCCAAATTGTGAACGCAAAGGAAAAGTTCTTGAAGAAAATTAAAAGTGCTACTCCAGTGAACATGTGAATGATAAGACAGCAAAACAGCCTTATTGCTGATATGGAGAAAAGTTTTAATGGTCTAGATAGAAGATCGAACCAACCACAATGTTTCCTCAAAGCAAAGCCTAATCTAGAGCAAGGCCCCGTAACTCTCTTCAATTCTACGAGGTCTGTGAGGAAGCTGCAGAAGAAAAGTTTGACGTTAGCAGAGGTTGGTTCATGAGTTTAAGGAAAGAAGCCATCTTTATAACATAAAAGTACAAGATGAATCAGCAAGTTGTCCAGAAGATCTAGCTAAGATAACTAAAGAAGCCGGCTACACTAAAGAGCAGATTTTCAGTGCAGATGAAACAGCCTTATATTGGAAGAAGATGCCATCTAGGACTTTCACAGCTAGAGAGGAGAAGTCAATGCCTGGCTTCAGAGCTTCAAAAGGCAGGCTGACTCTCTTGTTAGGGGCTGATGCAGCTGGTGACTTTAAGTTGAAGCCAATGCTCATTTACCATTCTGAAAAATCCTAGGGCCCTTAAGAATTACGCTAAATCTACTCTGCCTGTGCTCTATAAATGGAACAACAGAGGCTGGAGGACAGCACATCTGTTTACAACATGGTTTACTGAATATTTCAAGCCTACTGTTGAGACCTACTACTCAGGAAAAAAGATTCCTTTTAAATGTTACTGCTCATTGACAAGGCACCTGGTCACCCAAGAGCTCTGATGGAGATGTACAACGAGATTAATGTTTTCCTGCCTGCTAACACAACATCCATTCTGCAGCCCATGAAGGAAGGAGTAATTTTGACTTTCAAGCCTTACTGTTTAAGAAATACATTTTTTAAAGTTATAGCTGCCAAATAAAGATAATGATTACTCTGATGGATCTGGGCAAAGTAAATTGAAAACCTTCTGGAAAGGATTCAGCATTCTAGATGTCATTAAGAACATTCGTGATTCATGGGAAGAGGTCAAAATATCAATATTAGCAGGAGTTGGGAAGAAGTTTATCCGAACCCTCATGGATGACTTCAAGGGGGTTCAAGAAGACTTTAGTGGAGGAAGTAACTGCAGATGTGGTGGAAGTGGCGAGAGACCTGGAATTAGAAGTGGAGCCTGAAGACGTGACTGAATTGCTGCAGTCTCATGATAAAACTTTAACAGATGAGGAATTGCTAGTTATGGATGAGCAAAGAAAGTGGTTTCTTGAGATGGAATTTGCACCTGGTGAAGATGCTGTGAAGATGGTTGAAATGAAAACAAAGGATTTAGAATTTACATCAACCTAGTGGATAAAGCAGCGGCAGGGTTTGAGGGGATTCACTCTGATTTTGAAAGAAGTTCTACTGTGGGTAAAATGCTATCAAACCAGCATCACATGCTACAGAGAAATCGTTCATGAAAGGAAGAATCAATCAATGCAGCAAACTTCATCGTTGTCTTATTTTAAGACATTGCCACAGCCGATCCAATGGTTAGCAGCCACCGCCTCGATCAGTCAGCAGCCATCACCATCGAAGCACGACGCTCCAAAAGCCAAAAGATTATGACTCACTGAAGGTTCAGATGATGGTTAGCATTTTTTAGCAGTAAAGTATTTTTTAAGGTATGTACATATTTTTTAGACATAATGCTGTTGCACACTTAATAGACTATAGTGTAAACATAACTTTTACATGCACTGGGAAAGCAAAATATCCCTGTGACTTTATCGCGATATTCACTGTATTGTGGTCTGGGACTGAACCTGCAATATCTCCGAGGTGTGCCTATGTATATAGGAGCAGGGATTTTTGTCTGTGTTAGTGATTTTGTACCTCCAGGGCCCAGAACACTGCTTGGCACACACAAACTCAGCGAACAAAAGAATGAGTAACAGGTATTTGGTTTTTTGACAAGAACAATTCTTGGGTCTGTGATGGGCTCTTGGGGGCAGTGCAGAAGTGGAGATCATGTTAGGAGGCCCACCTTTGAGAATGCGCTTCCAGAGACTCAGCTCTCACCAAAACTCTAAAGGGATCTGTGACCCCAGGATTAAAATGGCCAATGGTGATGTGGTATTTTGTGCTGCCAAGTCTGTGAGACTCTAGGATCTGGCATTGACAGGCTCTCTGTGGCTCACTAATGCCTCATGTGACCTCCGCTGTCCTCGCCTCATCTGATTGAGGGACAGGCCCGGACTGCACGTGTACAAACCCAAGATATTCTGGGCAGTTTCAGATGCTTTCTCATGCGTCCTCTCATTTGAGGTTCACAGCAGCCCTCGGGCCAGGCTCGGACTAGGTCCTGGTGCAGAGGAGAGACTCACCTCACTGCCCTCCTGTCATAGGCTGGTTGGCTGGGACAAGAGCCAACCCCAGCTGTTCTGCCTGCTGCCTTGGTACTGATAACTTCCAGAAGATGACATTATGTTTCTAGTCAGCAGCTAATCATGAGAGGCTGGAGGTTGTGCAAAATAAGAATTTTGTTTCATAATTAAAGCAAAGAGTTAGGACCAGTAATCAGTCCCTTTGGTATTTTCTCAGACCTTACCTGCCATTTTCTCTCTTTTTTCCTTTGATAAAAGTAAAAAAAAAAAAAGTAGCACATAAAGATACATTGCTTGGGGCCAGCCTGATGGTGCAGCGGTCAAGTTTGCACCTTCCGCTTCGGCAGCCGGGGGTTCGCCAGTTTGGATCCCAGGTGCGGACATGGCACCGCTTGGCAAACCATGCTGTGGCAGGCGTCCCACACAGAAAGTAGAGGAAGATGGGCACGGATGTTAGCTCAGGGTCAGTCTTTCTCAGCAAAAAAAGGAGGATTGGCAGCAGTTAGCTCAGGGCTAATCTTCCTCAAAAAAAAAAAACCAACAAAAACCAAATAAACAAAAAAATACATTGCCTATTTTTACGCCTCAGGGCAGCCTTTGGTACAAAAAAAGACCCAGGACAGTTCTCACCTTTGTCTTAAGATGCAGGTGTTGGAGAAGTACATTAAGAAGTGAAAACCTCATGTCAAACAGAGAGTCTTGACTCATTGGTAGAAGTTGAAGCCCTAACCCCCATTAAGGAACCCCTAGGCCCTTTGGGAAATGCTGGTGTGGTGCCCTCGCCTGCTCTTTCTTGGATGGGCCACCCGACGTGTGCATCACCGAGGCAGGGTCTCAGACAAATAATGAGCGATTTTAAGTTTATCACCCATCACCGTTTGCAACACTGCACGTGAAAATCCAGAATTCTGAGTGTCATACATGGGCCCAGGGGCTGTGCGTCCAGAGGTTAGGGACAGCTGGAGGCCGGAGGTCCAGGGCTGTGTCTGACTCATGATCTCTATCTTGGTGGTAGACCCCTGAGGAGTTGGATGACTCCGACTTTGAGACAGAAGACTTCGATGTCAGAAGTAGGACAAGCGTCCAGACAGAAGACGATCAGCTGATAGCTGGCCAGAGCGCCCGGGTAAGGAACAAGCTTAACTGTTCTGCAGATCTTCCCTTTTCCCTCAGGACTTGGCTTTTTCTTTTCTAGGAAAACACTCTCAGTATTAAGAGCATCATTCTTCCTCTTTTCTCTGGCAGTAGGACTGAAGTTAGCCTAAGCTGTGGCACCTGCTAGTCAATTGTAGTTTCCTCCAAAATGTCTCCTTTGCTGGGAGCAAGGCAGGAGCATGGGCCTCCTCAGCTGTGCTCTGGGGCTGTGGTTGACAGGGCCCTGCATCAGGAAAGCCCTAGGATCTAGTCAATGTAATGTTTGTTAAAAGGATTGTGAAATCCGAAAAAGATTGCTGTTTTCGCCCGTCTCAGTGATACCATGGGTATGAACTATTTAATTGTTGATGGGTTAAAAAAAAAATAACAGTGGTACATTCAAGAAAATCAGTCAGAGCCACTGCATTCATTTGAGTCATTAAATCTTCAGTCAGTAGCATTTATGTTTTGGGGAGGATGCCAAGAAATATTTCTAAGGAGTCTTTTTCACTCCTTAGAAATCATTTTGAACAGCGAGTGCATGCCTGCTTTAGGCCTCACTTGGTCATGAGCATTTTGGGAATTTTACTGGGAAGAACCTGAGGCCTGGAGTCTGTGGGGCTTGAGGTGGGCATCAGGCCTCCAGGTGTTGCTTTGATAAGGTTTAAATGCCATCTGAAGTAGCTAAAATGTATATTCCTTAGCACATTCTCTTCTCCTTTCCCTCTTCAAAATTTACACTCTAAAACCACGACCAGTTCACCTTGAAAAGTTGGAGGTGTAGTGTAGCCACAGGAAGTGTCCATTTGGGGCCCTCCAGGGAAAGGGCTCCACACATCGGCCCCTTCTGTTATCTCCTCTCTTCACGGCAGGAGGCAGAGGATGAAACTTTTAAAGAATTAAGTTAAGCAGATTCTGTCCCTGTACAGGTGTGATCACGAAGCTTCCACATTAGCCTTCTGTCCCTTACCCTCTGTTTTCTCGACACTAAAACTTATTCTTGAAAGTGGGTCGGGAATTCAGGCTGCCGTAAACTTCTGCACAAAATGAGAAGAAATGGCCCTTCAGGCAAAATGAAACCTATTAAAGCATTATCCTACCTATGTCATAGATTGCTTGGTAGAAATGTTCTTGGCTAATGCACTGTGAGAACTTCATATTCTCTTTATGTAAGAGCTTTCTGTGCTTCTGATTTTAGGCGATCATGGCTCAGCTTCCCCAGGAGCAAAAAGCAAAGATTGCGGAACAGGTGGCCAGCTTCCAGGAAGAAAAGAGCAAGCTGGATGCCGAAGTGTCCAAGTGGGACGACAGTGGTAACGACATCATCGTGCTGGCCAAGCAGATGTGCATGATTATGATGGAGATGACGGACTTTACCAGGTGAGCAGTGCCCAGCCCCCACCAGCCACACAGAGGGCAGCTTTCCTCCCGACAGGTCAATTCAGACAGGCAGGACCGTGCCGCTTTGTGGACATCTTCTCTGTTCCACTCCTCTCTAACTATGAAAGGCGTCATATACAATGATCCTTGTTCTCTTTTTTCAGAGGTAAAGGACCGCTCAAAAATACATCAGATGTGATCAGCGCTGCCAAGAAAATTGCTGAGGCAGGATCCAGGATGGATAAGCTTGGTCGTACCATCGCAGACCACGTAAGTGACAGAATTGCTTCATCCTGGGCTCAGGCAGCCCAGCCTGGTGCCTTCCAAGGTGGCAATAATGATTTTTCATGGGACACAGCACTCTTCTCATCTCAAAAATAGTTCTTAACTCACCAACTTGCTTTATTAATACCAGCATAGATTTTTAAGGATTTCGGAATTCTTGTTTCTTCTTTGACAAGTCTTAGGAGGTAGGCCCGGTTTGCATTAGAGCACATCTCTGGAGCAGGTGTGTATGTTCTGTAAACTTCCCGTGGTTGACAGCTAAAACCAGCCTCTGCTGTTGACTGTTGTGTATTTGTTACCTCTCACTTCTCTTCAGAACTTCAGCTCTGGGCAGGAGCTGCTTGTGCAAACCCTAACACACTGAAACCAGGTGTGTAAGATTTATCTTCCTATGGATTTATTTCATATAAGAATCAGGAGCCTGTTTGGCTAGTGTTATTCCTCCTACTGATATATCAAAAAATATGGTTCTTACTTCCTGGCAAGTTTGCATTTCCCTTGATGCTCCAAGACTTATTATCAGAGACAGTGTTTTTCAGTTACAGTTTTTCTCTGCAGTTACTAACTCTTCCTACCCCTTTCCCTGAAGTATCCCAGCTGCAGGCTGAGTGACAGCAATTCTCCATCGCTCAAGCCACAGACTCAGAAGTCATCCTTGACTCCCCCTCTCTCATGTAATCCAGTACTAAGCCCTACTGCTTCTCCTGGCCTCACAGATCTTGACACCAGCCAGTCTTTTCCTCTCTGCAACCACCAGCTCGGTCCAGACCTCGGCCGCATACCTGGACTCCCATGGCCTCTCCTCACTGGCTTCCCACTCTTCCCTCCATCCTCCACACAGTTGCTAACACGGTCTTCTTATATGATCATCTTAAAATGCAAGTCAGATATGGCTCTGCCCTGCTTCAGTAGCTTCTTAAAACTCAAAGTCTCCAGCATGGTCTCAGACTTCATTTCATGCCACGCTCTCACTGCGCCCCAGCCTCACAGGTTCGAAGTGTTTGCTGTAGACACTTGAGAGGTACTCCATGTTTCCTTCTTCGGGAAAAGCCTCTTAAGCCGGCCCTGAGCTTCCCTGTGCCTGGTCAAGACCTCATGGTCCCCACGTGCTCTCTTCTTGCTTTGGTTTAACTCAGTTGTCCTCCATCTTTGCCTGAAGTGAACATCTCCTTTCATCAGGCCTTTACAGTGTGCATTGTAACTGAGCAGATAAAGTGCTTCTGAGCAGAAGAGCTATTTGGATGGTTATTAGCTAGCTCAAAGCACTCTGACTTTCCTCCAGAGCCAGGCTCTTACTTGCTGAGGCTTTTTCTCACCTTGAGGGGCATGGGCCCAAGCAGAGAGTAGCCTAGGTCTGTGACTGCCCCAGATAATTGGATAACACATCTTTCTTGCCCTTTGCCCAGTAAGGAGAGAAGCCTGTTGGTGGCACACTGAGCCTTTCAGAAATAGCCCTGGGGGTGGGGTGTGTTTGGACCGGGCCCAGAGTGCTTGATGCTCAGCCTACTCTCCCCTCAGTGCCCAGACTCGGCCTGCAAGCAGGACCTGCTGGCCTACCTGCAGCGCATCGCCCTCTACTGTCACCAGCTCAACATCTGCAGCAAAGTCAAGGCCGAGGTGCAGAACCTCGGTGGGGAGCTCGTTGTCTCCGGGGTAAGTCTTATTCGTGAAAAGAAGTGGTTGGTAAGAATGTGCTTTTGAAACGAAAGTAGCCTCTTGTCCACATACACTCCTCACCTGCCCTGAACGGGAAAGTGTGCTGTGGAAAACCTGAAGTTTCTCTTCAGTCCTTGGAGGCCAAGGACTGCATATCGCCGCTTCCTGCTGAACTGCAGTTCTGTTTAGCAGGGCGCAGTTTGTGACAGCTTGGAGCCATCACAGGGCTGGCCTCTTCCCTTTTGCTGGCCGCTCATTGGGAAAAATATTTTTATCTTCCTTGCTTTTCTTTCCCCAGAGAGGAATTGAGCCTGTTCAAAAATTGCGAAGATGATGTAGATAGGCTTTCTCAAACCTCCTCCACCCCTCACAGTGCCCGAGTAGTCTCTCTTCCATTGTCTGTTCACCATGTCACAGCCTGGTCCCCCTGTCACCTTGAACAGGGGAAAGAGGACGCCTCGCTCTGTGTGCTGGGCTCCACGGATTGCCTGTGGCTTCTGCTAACCCCACGGAATTTCCTTTCAGAGAACTATTTTGTATGTTGGACTCACTGACAGCATTTGCTCACCTGCTACAGCATAAATGCCTGTCTCTGGGGAGCAATTATCCCTCTTCTCTAAATGAGCGAGGAGACCCCCTGGGTCATGACTGAAAATGGTGCGTTTCTGTCTCAGAGGGCTGGCTCCGTGCCTGCTCCTCCGTGGCCGTTCACAGTGCTTGTGGTTATAACTCTGCGATCACTCAGGAAGGTGCAGAGCCTCCTCCAGCTTGTGTGAGTGAATAAAAACTTGCTGAGGGGTGGAGGCAGGCAAGGGGATGGTGCCTTATGTTTTTGTTACTACTCCCTTTTCTTCTTCAAGAGATCTGAAAAACACAGGTGTTTTCAGGGTATTTGGACAAGAGTAGGCAGCCGCGAGGAGAGCTAACCAGGAGCGGGGCTGCTGCTCAGCCCTGTCCTGGATGGGGAGAAGCGGGGACTCCCCCCTCAGGCACTGACAGTCCCCCAGTGCACATGGGGCTGGAGGTCAGGCCTGTGGTCCTCACTGCCCCCATCTGTGCCTCTTAGGTGGACAGCGCCATGTCCCTGATCCAGGCCGCCAAGAACTTGATGAACGCCGTGGTGCAGACAGTGAAGGCGTCCTACGTGGCCTCTACCAAATACCAGAAGTCTCAGGGCATGGCTTCCCTCAACCTCCCGGCTGTGTCGTGGAAGATGAAGGCACCTGAGAAGAAGCCCTTGGTGAAGAGAGAGAAACAGGATGAGACACAGACCAAGATTAAACGGGCATCTCAGAAGAAGCACGTGAACCCGGTTCAGGCCCTCAGTGAGTTCAAAGCCATGGACAGTATCTAAGGCTGCCCTAGCCAGCTGCCCCCACCCGTTGGGGCCCCTAAAGATCAGTCACTGTTCTTCACTCAAGTGTATTTGCTACATAGAACACTGATGTTAGATTCCACAGGGAAATAGGCAGAGTTTAAACTTGGCCAGGTGGTAAATTTTTGAAGGCCATATTTGTCTTTAAGTTGGTCAAAAATACCTTTAGAATTCAGGAGCATATTTCCAGCTATATTTTTTTTATAAGATTAAAGAAAAATAAAAATTCCATAACCAAAGAGAATCTCACATTAACTTGTTATTAACACTCTTGACCGAGTTGTGAGGCCCATTCTGTTTGAGAGAAGGAGATCTACCAGCCCTGGGTTCCAGCGGTTTGGCTGGTATTATGTGACCAAAGACGACCCAGAGTGAGCAACCTGGGTGTCTTAGGAAGCTATCCCTGGAGGAGGAATGTTCCCAGAAAGGTCTTGAAAGGGACGTAGCACATAAAACTCAGTAAGACGTAATGTATCATGAAGACAACTGATTACTCTCTTTATGACATGCAATGAGAATTTTAATGCATGGTTACAATTACTAATGTACTCTGCTGCAGGACATTAATAAAGTTGCTTTTTTCAGGCTAGAATGTTGTGATGCTGTAATCAGAACATGCTTTTTTCCCTTTCTTTGGCTTCAAATGCAAATTCATCATTGGGCTCACTTCTAATAATTGCAATGTTTCCTGCCTTGGGCTTGCAACAGAAGCCTGACAAAAATAGTGTTTACTTAGGCAATAATTTTGACTTTACCTTATTTGTGATTACTATAGCGATTACTATAGCTACAAGGTATAATTTTACTGTCTTATTTAAATTTTATGAATTTGAATGTTTTTTACACTAACTTTTCCCAATAAAGTCCACTATGAAACCAAGCCTGAGCAGCCAAAGTCATTTTCTTTGCCTTCCAGTAGCGCGGAGTCTTACATCAAATGTCACCTGCAGTGCTCGGGCCCTCCCGGTGTCCCTCCTCCCCTGGGACAGTGTTGCTCAGTGAGGAGACTATGCCCGTGGCTCCAGGCCAAGGGCTGCACAGCCTTGTAGCTTCCGTGCCAGCATACCAGGGAGGGCTGTGCCAACCTCAGGAATTCACGTGTTGTGCTTCAAGGTGCAGGTCAAAACCCTGGAGGCATCCTTGACATCTCCATGGATATCACCCCCTCTCTCTTCTGAATCATTCCCATCAGCTTAAACCGTATGTTGATAATAGCTGCCTAAAAATAAAATCCCTCCTTAATTTAACCCCATGTCCCTTCCCAGCAAACATCCCCACCTTAAGCAGAACTGCCTAAAGGATGTGTGTGGTCCTTGTCTCCTCTTCCTCACGTCTGTTCTCTCTGCCATTCCACTCAGCTCTGGTCCCCACCACTCTACTGCGGTCCTCCCTGTTAAGGGGGCCGTCCTCCACCCCATCACACAGACCAGCTCTGTCTCCTTACCAACCTCACAACTAGTGGCCCAGGTGAATGCTCCCTCCAGAAAGCTGCTCACTTGACTTCTGGAACACTGCGCTCTGGTTTTGTCTTCCTTACTGAGCGCTCCTGCTTTTCCTAGTTGTTCAAAGTTGCACTGTCCCAGGGCTCAGTCCCTGGGCCTCTTCTCTTCTCTGGCTCTACTCACTCTTCTGGTCTTAGCCAGACTTCTGGCTTTAAATACTGTCCAAATACCGACTTCTCCTGGGATTCAACTTTTATAACTGCCTGCCTCCTAAACTCTGCACTTGGATTTTTTTTTAGAGAACTTTTCTTTTTTTGAGGAAGACAGACTAGCCCTGAGCTAACATCCATGCCCATCAGCCTCTACTTTTTTTTTTCTGTGTGGGACGCCTGCCACAGCATGGCTTGACAAGCACTGTGTAGGTCCACCCACACCTGGGAGCCAAACTGGCAAACCCTGGGCTGTGCCACCAGGCTGGCCCCTGGATGTCTCACTAAATCTCTCAAACTGGACCTGCCCAAATTCTTATCTTTGAAATGTATGCTAGGTCCAACTACTTACCACTTCTGTTTACTGTCACCTGGTCTCAGCCCTCATCACTGTGTTAGTTATCTATTACCATGTGACAAATCGCCCCCAAACTTAACAGCTAAAACAGCAAACCTGTTTATTACCTCACAGTTCGTGAAGGTCAAGAATCCAGAGCCGCTTAGTGGGAGGTTCTGACTCGGGGTCTCTCATGAGGCCACAGTCTCTCTCTGAAGGCTTGATGGGCTGGAGGGTCTGCTTCCAAGCTCCTTCGCATGACAGCTGGCAGAAGGCCTGGCTCCATGCCATGCAGGCCTTCCCATAGGGCAGCTCACAGTGCAGTAGCGGACTTCCCCAGAGTGGGTGATCCAAGAGAACGGCAACCAGATGGAAGCCACAGTGTTGTTAAAAACCTGATCTTGAAAGTGATACACCATCACTTCCACTGTATTCTACTGGACACAGACCCCCCCCCCTACACTGTGGGAGGGGACAGTACAAAGGCTGGAAGGTGGACTCCCACAGCCATATGTACCCAGACCATTGCAGTAAACCCCCCTTCCACACACACACGCTTCCCTGAACATCCTCTTCCTTCACACGAGTCCCCACAGCAGTCACAACGATCCCCATAAAACAAGTCAGTGTCATTCTCTTAGCCCACACCTTCCAGTAGCTTCCATCTCAGTAAAAGCCAAAATCCTAGATGAACTTCTTTGTCATTCGCCCTTTGCACTTGTGGTTCCACTTCTCGAATGCACTTTTCCCAGATAACCCTATGCTTTCTTAAGGTTTCCTTTAGGTGTTTCATCAAGTCCATTTATCAGAAAGACCTTCTCTGATAAATCCTTAACTTGCCCTCTCTTTCTTATGGCTTTACATATCCGTTTGGGTGGGAATCTTTATTTTGTTCATTACTGACTCTCCAAGGCCCCTGGGGGATCTCTGGTGGGACTGGAAGGCGCTGGCCACCACCCTCCAACCCTTGTGAATTCAGGATTCAGGCTGACTCTTGGGACATTCTCATGGCTTTTTTTTTTTTTTAAGATTTTATTTTTTTCCTTTTTCTCCCCAAAGCTCCCCAGTACATAGTTGTATATTCTTCGTTGTGGGTCCTTCTAGTTGTGGCATGTGGGACGCTGCCTCAGGGTGGTTTGATGAGCAGTGCCATGTCCGCGCCCAGGACTTGAACCAATGAAACACTGGGCCTCTTGCAGCGGAGCGCGCGAACTTAACCACTCGACCACGGGGCCAGCCCCACTCTCATGGCTTTTTTTGCCATCAGTTTGTCACACTCCAAACTCTTCCAGACCTGAGCTCCAGCACATCTGTCCCCAGCTGCTTCACCTCCAGCCCTGCACCCCAGCAGTCCCCATCCAGTCTTCCTCCTAACTCATCTACTTCTCGCCAGCAGAGGCCAAGACCCCACCCCACATCTGGATTGCTGCAAAGCCTCCTAAATGAGCCTCCTATCCAGCCCACAGGATCCATTCTCCATTCTCCATCTAGTAGCGAAGCAATCTTCTGAAAATACCTCCTAAAGAGTCAAGCCTCTGCATAAAGCCCTCTGCCTGGGGCTGCCCACTGCCCACCTGACATGCTGGCAGCCCTGTTCATGGTCTCTGCAGTGTCTGGTACTGTGACCCTGCCCTCTGCACCCACGCTGACCCCTGGAGGCGGTTCCCGGGACACCCCTGTGGTCTCCCTGTGAGTCCATCACTTGCATGTCTGGGTTATCACCTTTGCCATATCGTCGTCCCAAGCAAAATACCATTATTTACTTGAAAAGACTAACTTTTGTTTAACTTTGCCTCCTTCTAAGCAGTATCTATGAAATCACGTGTGATGTGCTAGTTACAGTTTTTCTAACATACTTTAAAATAACATTTTAATAATAAGTGTTTCATTAATGTATCACCTAAAATCATCCCTTGTACAATGGGAAACACTGGCCCACAGCTGCCTCTTGCTCCCCCAGGCTGAGCCCTCTCAGCCATGGCACATGGTGTTAGAGTGCCAGCCCCCATGGGACTGACCCGCATTCCTTCAGGGAATAGACAGCGTTGGTCTTGTTGACCCCATTGTCCAGCAAAGGGCCTGGCGCTTGCTTGAGAAATATTCTTGAGCCATTTGAACCATTCATTGATTAAACCAATCAAAAGATAACAGAAGGCAAAAAGCGGACAACTGAGGAGGCACCAGAGGCCCTGCCCAGAAATACCGAAATCCTCCTCTGTCCTCCTCAGAGAGCACACTCTAAAGATGCTCAAGCCTGGGCTGAGCACGAGGGAGCTTTGCCTCACCCTGTCCTTAGGGGTATTCCCTCCTGCCCTTCTGCCACCCACTAAGAGAACTGTCTCTCCTTGGTATCTTGAGGCTTCTTACTTCTCAGCCAGGGTAGACACGACCCTCAGTGTCACCTCCCTCAGCGACACCTCCCTTTGGTGAGGCCTGGCCGGCTCCCTCCCCAGTGGCACCTCACCAGCCTGGCACTCTGGGCTTAGGGGCCCTCACACCTGCTCTGGCCACTACCTGCACCCAGGGCCTGCAGAGCCCAGCTCTCCTCTCCTGCTGGCAGCAGCTGCCCTCCCTGCCCTGCCAACCACTCTGCAGCGCCTCCCATGGTCCCTGGGCACATACTTCAAAGGCTCCACCTCACCTCTGCGGCCTTAATCCTCACAGCTTCCACCGTCTCCATCCAGGCCAGGGTCACCTCTCCATTGAAGGCAGAAGGGAGCTGCCAAGTCCTGGGCACACCCAGAGCCCATGTCAGGCCTTTAGCCACATCCCCCCATCTCATCTTTACAACTTTTGAGGTGTTGGTGCTATTACTGCCCCTCAAACTTTAAAGCTGAGGGAACTGAGTCAGAGAGGTGAAGCCCCTCACCCAAGTCACACAGCTGGCAAGTGGCCCAGCCCTGCCTTGCAGCTTCAAGATCCAGTCCCTCTAAAGACCCCAGGTTCTGACCATCCCTTCCTGCAGCCACAGAGGGCAGGGCAGGGCAGGGCAGGGTAGCCACCTGTGCCCCCTCAGCCTTACTCTCAGGAGGCTGACTGGAGGAGAGGTGGTCAGCTGGGAACTCCCTCATGCGCCCACCCAACACATCTGCCCCATCCCTGCACCTGGGCCTCTGGCCTCTGCCTGTCAGGATGCAGGAACTCTCCTTTGGCTTAGGCCATCCCTTGGCCAGTCACTGGATCCCGGCCTACTCAAGGATTCTGCCCCCACAATTCTATTTCCCACCTCGCCAAGTTTTCCTTCCTCCTGGATCTTTCTCATCAGCGTACAAAATGTACTCTGATCCCACGGTTGGAAAAAAAAAGACAATACAAACATTTCCCTTGAGTCCATGTCTCCCCTCCCCTTATAGAGAACTCCTCAGGTGAGCCTTCAGACCATGTCTCCACTTCCCTCACTTCTCCCCAGCTCACACCATTCTGTCCAGTTCTCTTAGTAGCATGTGATGCCAGCAGCCACTCCTTCCCTCTTTGTCACACCTTCTGGAGATTTTCACATTCCACACCCTTCACTGATCTCTGCTCCTCATCTCCTTTACCAGCTCGTGCTCCTCTTGACCTCTAATGTTGAGGTGGTCCAGGCTCAGCCTTGGTCCTCTTCTCTTGCCTGTCTCCGATGATTCCTAAGCGGTGGTATGCTGGTAAATGCTTGACAACCAGCTTTCCAGGGCAGGGCTGGGAGGCGATGCATATATATACATACATGTGTTTATTATATATTTTACTTCTATAAAAGAATTGTAGCACATAATTCACAAATAACAAAATATGCAATACTCTTTATTGTAAGTTCCATATAGCCAACTGATTCTCACAGAAGGCTTTCATTGATTTTTGCTGAAATCTTGCATCTATAGCCAACCTAAGGTTGCAACTAACTAACGAGTCTAGT